GCAGCGTACTCGTTTGGAGACTTGTACGCTAAGCGTACCTGCTTGTACGTCCAGCGTACTAACACTATTCAGCCTAAAACTTGATTTTCCACTTAATCCATTAAGACAAAGCTCCAAAACATAGATCTGACTCACTTGAGCTGGATTATCACGTCAAGTTGCTAACTTTATGTTCATACATGGCTAAATGAAGCTCTTAAACTTAACAGGGACTTAATAGTTGACTTAATTCATGCATGACACCGAAATTCACATAAAGCTTGCACCTTTATGCTCAAGGATACCAAAACAAACTCAGATTTGAAAGAACAAGACCTTAAATGACCTAACTCATCCATAGACCCAAAAAGGAGACCAAAATCATAACAAACTAACCATGAAAAGATCTTGACATATACAAGCCAAGATGCAAACCTGATACCTCAAAAAGCTTCACCACAAGATGATGATTTTGGATCTAAATCCTTTCCACCAAGAAAAACAACTTCAAGCTTCTCTTCTTGCCTTCCTAAGGGCAAAATGTGCACCAAAGCCTTCTAATAGCTCAAGAACACCACCAAGAGGCTAAAAGGGTCGATTTAGGGTTTTAAGGGTATGGAGGCTGGCTTAGAAATGAACAAAAGAGGCTAACATAAAGCTTATATAAGGTCCATCACGAAAAATTAGGGTTTCTTACTCACCCTCGTACGCCCAGCATACGAGGTCTCGCACCCCGATCCAATCCTCGCAGTACGCTAAGCGTACACCCATTACATACAGCGTAATACCCTTCGCATCAATATGCCTTGCGTACTCCCTTGGTATTCCCCGCGTACTATGGTTTCCCCTCAAACCCTAACTTATTCCGAATGCCATAACTTCTTTGATACAACTCCGATTCCAACCATCATTATATCCATGAAAAGGTAACGAGAAGCACTACACTTTAATCAAATCGTACTTGCCATAAAAATTTTCTGAACACAAAATCCAATCTCTGTAACAGTCTGCTGCCATTTTACCAAAATACCCCTTGGCTCCAAAACCAAATCTGAACGCCCGAATTATCTACATTACATCACCCACACCCAAATGGATAACGATTCGGAACATGACATTACAAACATTATCTAAAGTAATTATCCTAATCAATTTTGAATTAAGCAAAAAACAATTTCACTAATCATAGGGTTCACCACGTCGTGACAATCAGCTGACACGTCGTGGTAGCATGAAGAAAAACGTAAATATAAAGATCCACGCTTCGTGGCAGAAGATGACCATGATGTGATGCCGCTGTAGAGTGATGGTTCTGCCAAATCGTCTAGTCAGGTGTTGTTCAAGTTCAAGCAATGCACTATTAGATCTAGTCATAACATTATGGGTTTTACATGCAATAATGCAGATAAATCCTTATACAATTAAGGGTACATGCAACCTATTAGATCTAGTCATAACACTATTGAAGTAACATTCTATTGAACAAAACAAACCCTATAACCCTAGCTAATTTCGAAATTCATAAAAGTTAGGGATTACATACCTTTTTATTATTGTAGTAACCAATAAAACAATCCTTCTTGAAAAACTCTTGGAAGCTAGCACCAGAAATCTCGTGCCTCTAATGGTTTACACCCAAACCCTAGCAACTACGAAACTTGAAGAGTGAAGAGGAGATGGGAAATTTCGGTTGGCTCTTGGCAATAGGAGTGATCGTCAAAATTTAGAGGCTAATGATCCCTATTATAGCTGATATGAAAACCCTAAATAACCCTTACTTGATTAAAATATTAATATCTTAAATCAGGTAATTATCTGGTTTCCTAATTATCTCCAAGGGATATTCTAGAACCCTAAGGAAGCCTCTAATTTTCGGCTATCTTAGGACTATTCTAGAATCCTCTTGTGTCCAACTATTGAACAATTACAGCTTAGGTCTTTGCACTTTTAATGAATCCAATTAATCCCAAAATTAATTCCCATTAATTCTTAATTAAATAACACTATTTTTAATTGATATATTATTCTCATAACATATTGATAAATTCATTTATTTCTATTTAATAATCATATAATAAATCAATAAATAAGTATCTCTCTCTAAAAATTATCCTATTCAATTAACAGGTTTAAGTGCAACCTACACAGACTTTGTTAATAATTCGAGTATATACCATTTTAGTTATTGGATTAGACACCTAGTCGAACAAAAAGAGCCCTCTCCGTGAACATCTTGGTGATCTCCGTCACCGTCTCAGTTGTCTGTCTCAGATTTAAGTACTCCTGAGACAATCTCTTCTTCTCTACCAGGGGAACATATCTCATACGAAACATCTATGCGAACTGCTCCCAAGTCACAAACAACCCTATGCTTAGGAGTATAAGAACCAATCACCAATCTCCACCAATCCTTCACCCCTAGTCGTAGAAGGTTCCGTGCGCACTTGACCTTCTGGTCATCCAGACATGAACATGTGAAGTAGAAACCCTCCACATCAGGAAACCATCTCATCGCCATAATAGGCTCCTTGACCCCATCAAACTCCAGTGGCTTCGTTGTTGTTGAAGTACCGATAATGGAATGATCTCTCCCTTGAATCCCCGCAACAGCAACGACCTTGGTAGTTGCAGCAGCATCAGCCTCAGTGAGGGCAACATAGCGATTATCAAATAGCTCAATCATATTTGTCTTGATCAATACAAACAACTCCGGAATAGATACCTGAACAATTGTAGCCATCTCAACGACAATCATCTCTGGTATCTGGTCGTCAATCAACCCTCACCTATCCTGGCCACCCGCTCCAGATCCTCTTGTGAGCACCATACTGAAAACGAACCAAAATATATATCAGAAATGCCACAAATTAGACCATCACAGATAAACTAAACCCTCAGATTTTGTGACTTCCTTGCTACGCGTATGGGTCTTGTGCTTCCAATAGTACGAGCCCATACTACATTCCACACCTACTCGTATTTGTCTTAATGGATCATCACAAACTGCCCAAAAACAACCCACAACTAGGATACACATACATCCTATAATCACTCTCTCGAGAGTCGTTAATCATTCCTCAACTGGCCTGCTACACCTACATTCTCACTCATGAAACTTCCATAAAACCTACAGCCACTTGTGCATGCTAATCATACATAATGATGGATTCCATAGACAATTGAATATTCGATTCTACCCTAAGCCCACAACCAGACAAGGAATATGAAATAAGGCTAAATCAAACATTTTCAGGCTATAAAATCTTAGTTATGCACAACCATGATGCACACACTAAGAAACTACAGTAATGATGTCAATTTCATCTAACATACAAGAAGTCCTCCTAGGATATCAGACATCATACTTCAGACAATCCTATCATGTAATTCTTGAAGATCCCTAGCATACTACTAGCATGCAGTTCTATCATAATCATTAATAAAAAATAACATTGTGGATAACTTGGGGTACACTTTCTTGCTCTGGCTGATCATAAACATCTAATCATTCCTTGGTTACTTTGAAAACAATTTGAAAACAATTTTGAAAACCATTATGAAAATAATTTGAAAACTTTTGCAGATCCTTAGTTTGAGTCTGGGTTCACATGAATTCTCATCCAATTCTCTCATAACAAGACTATGATACCAATTTGTAGCATCCCAAAAATCAAGGAAAAAAATTTCAATTTAAAAATCTAATAACAACCATAATTGTTTACAAAACATTGTTTCCAAAGATAATAATCACATATCAGAGTGTCCCAAAATCAAATGTCACAAAATAAGAAGGATGTGCACGATCACGCCTTTGCTTTTCCCCGGTCATCTAAAGTACCTGAAACATAAAACGTAAATTGTAAGCCAAAGCTTAGTGAGTTTCCCTCAAATACCACACAACATAACATATAGTGGCTCAACAACCTCCTGGTTAGATTACCCTTGGCCCACAACCTTTTGGTTGGATTGCCCTGACCCACAAACTTTTGGTTAGATTGCGTAATACATACTGGGTCCACAACCTCCCAGTTGGATTACCCCTGGCCTATAAATTCTCGGTTTTATTGCCCGCGTTTGTTGACTGACAGCACAAAGCAGTACAATCTCAACCCCACTACATTATGTCGACATATATAATAGATAAAACACATAACAACAACAAAATAATCATGTTAGATCTTAACATATCAATATAGCATAGCAATATTCCAAAACAAAATACACAATCTATTGGGCCGACATTGGTGCCTTCGACCCACAAGTATAGTGAGGAAAACTCACCTCACAGTCTGAAAAGATAGCCGAAAAGAATGTTGCTCCAACTATCAACTCTACGGGTTACCTATATAGAAAACAATGACATAGACTCAATTCACAACTAAAAATACCCAAAATACCCTAGTTCAACTTGGTTAAAATCCTGGTCAAATTCAAATGTCAAAAATTCAACCGAGTCAGCTCGGGCAGAGTACGCTCGGTCTACTCAGCTACTACACCCAACGTAGTACGCTTCTTGACCAGATTGGGGGTTCTTGACCACGTACGCACAGTGTACCATCAGGTACACCCAACGTACGCATCTGCTAACTTTAATTTCTAATAAGTGCTTAATCCATTAAGGCACTTCGTCTAAAACCCATATCTAGTTCAAAATAATGTCCTAAGTCATAAAGTTTCCAACTTTTTGAATTTCCAAGGCTAGAAAGGGTCCAATAACTAAACCCTAAGTTATTGCATAAACCATCAGCTCAGATCTCACACATGAAGAAAGGAAAGGAACCAATATCATATTTTTATGGTTCTAAACACCAAAAAACGCAAGGAATGACAACCCTTATGGGTTTGAGTAATCCATACTCATGAACACCAAACATAATGGACCAAAAACATAAAGCTTAAGAGCTAAGAAGATAATTTAAAAAATGATTCTAAAATAATTGATACCGATTATAAATAGGTAGAAAAATATTTTTTATGTAATATTATATCAATTTTAAAACCTCAAAATTTTATAGTTTGGAATGTCAAGTGCCCTTGAAACTTTACGCGGACAAGCGTACGGAGCAAAGCAATACGAGAGGGTTGGTACCCACACATATGGTGCCATAATTTCACTCATTTTCATCTGTTTCCCCATTTCCATTTTGTGGATTTACATCGACAAAATCCTAATCCTTTTGGGGCAAGACCCTTCAATTTCAATCGAAGCACGTAAATTCTCAGTCTGGCTAATCCCTTCGCTTTTCCCCTATGCCATACTCCAATCGATCACTCGCTACCTTCAGTCACAAAGTCTCATCTTTCCGATGCTATGGACCTCAGTTGTAGTACTTGTTCTTCACGTACCTGTATGTTAGGTTCTAGTGTTTAAGCTCGGACTTGGGACAGCTGGAGCCGCGTTAGCCATTGGAACTTCATATACTTTGAATGCGATTCTTCTCGGGCTGTACTTGTGTTATTCCAAATCATGCGAAAAGACTCATGTAACGTGCTCAGGAGATGTTTTTTCAAGTATCAAGGAGTTCTTTCGCTTTGCCATTCCATTTGCTGTCATGATTTGGTAAAACCTCGAAGAACCTTCAAAAATCTGTAACATTTACACCATTTACAAGATGTAATTCATGGATAATTTTTTTGTAGTCTTGAATGGTGGTCATATGAGATTGTGATTTTGTTATCTGGGTTGTTGCCAAATCCTCAATTAGAGACTTCAGTGCTTTCAATTTGGTAATCTTCTTTCAATCTTCTGCACAAACTTATAAAACTTATGCTTTTTAAACATTTCATACAAATTTAACATCTGTCGTATCATCTTTTTTGTAACAGCCTAACGATTAGCACCATACACTACTTCATACCTTACTCATTCGGAGCTGCTGTAAGGTTTGCACTTAACCTCTTCGACGTTTGCCAAAGTGAACATGCATCCAATTCCCAGACTAAAATTCTAATCTTTTTCAGCACACGAGTATCCAACGAGCTAGGAGCTGGGAACCCAGAGGCTGTAAAAACCACTCTCATGGCTGCATCAGGTCTTGGAGCAGTGGAAGCAATCATCGCCATAACCACTCTCCTATGCTCACGTTCTATTCTGGGTTACGCATTTGGTACAGAGAAAGAACTAGTCGACTATGTGAAAGACATCACCTTTCTTCTTTGTTTCACCATATTTACAGACACAATACAAGCAATTCTTTCGGGTAAGCTTAAACCCTAACAAAAGCTATCGAGATTTGGTCTTCAAAATGATAATGAAAGTTGCTTCTTTTAAACAGGAGTTGCTAGAGGGAGTGGTTGGCAACATATTGGGGCTTACATTAATCTTGGATCGTATTATCTTGCTGGAATCCCAATGGCTCTAGTTTTTGGTTTTGTGTTGAATCTAAAAGGGGAAGGATTGTGGACTGGATTAATTGTTGGATTAATGGTGCAATGTGTTCTTCTCACTCTTGTGACATCTTTTACGAGTTGGGAAAAACAGGTTATTGATTCAACCCATAAAGTTCTTTTGATTTTAGAAGTTTACTAAGGTATGAACTGATAAATTTGAATGATCTTTGTGTGTATATATCAGGCGACAAAGGCGAGAGAACGGATTTTGGATGAGGCGGGTAATGATGAGGAATGATACTTCAAGAAAATGGGTACTCAAGATACACTTGACCTATCAAATTCTATTTTTGTTTATGATGTTTAAAAATATATTCTTGAAGAAATGAAAAGGGAAACATAAAATGAGGATAAATTTGTGAAAAGTTAGAACTTAATTGTTATGCATAAAATTGTTCTTTATTTTGTATTATGTTAAAAGAAAACACCATATATAGTTTAAATGATTAAGTCATGTTCCAATTAAGTCATAGTAGCGCTAATAAAAGCTAAAGAGATTTGCACATGCTCTCTATCTCGTTTAACATGGTAGCACTAGTCATAAAAGCCTTATAATCTACCATTACAAACCACTTATTTGCATTGCTTGTCTTGTTTTTCATTGATTTATAAAAATTTAGGATGTCGTAACTGATACAAAACATAAGCATAAACAGACTTTACAATATCTTAGACTAACACTATAAATCTCCTAGAATCTCTCATCGTGCATGTACCTTGGTAACGATACCTGTGATACAAAGAAGTTGAATGGATCAGGTTGGGAAACTTGGTGAGTACATAGAGATTTCAACCCACAACAATATAGTTAATATGTCTAATTATCAAACAAACAATTAACCCAATTATCTATCCTCGTTTTCTTCTATATTCATTTCTCAGAACATCTCTTAAGGATCATCACCTACATCGGATTTCATCGCTAAGGACTTTTCCTAAGGTTCGTCATCTAATCATCGCATTTGATATTTTCATCGCTAAGGGCTTCTCCTAATGTTCATTGTCTATCATCGCACTGACAGTAATGCTTCATGGATTCCTCCGCAATATATGTCAGTAGAGTACATCACATGAACACACAATTTGTACATCGCTTGAACTCATAATTAATCACCTAACACGTTGCATTCATGCTGGTGTTCCACTGAACTGTTTAGACTAGTCTATGGTCCTCATCTATACTCTGGTAGATGACTACATCGCAATCATCACAAACATCACCAGTAAGGGGGTCAGGGCATCACCTAATAATTTTTTTCATCTCTCATATCCCATCTTTCATCTCCCATCTCTCATCACCCATCACTATCTGATATATATATATATATATATATATATATATATATATATATATATATATATATATATATATATATATATATATATTGTATATGAAAATACTTATATAATAAAATCGACTAAAATCATATCCTATTCATCCAACATATAATGCAGATAATAGGTGCACATAGCATTTAATTATCTAAATAATTCATATCTATGTGTACGATTAAAGTAACTATGCACTCACTTGATCAATGTAGATGCCTCTGAATTTGGGCATAACTTTGCCTTGGCACTTTAGTTTTTCCTCTGATGTGACCTACGTTCGAATATCACAAAGTCTTAGTCTTATATTCCTGGCGACTAATGATAGTCTACATTCCTCACTAATCCTAATGTCTACATCAGGATCTATCAAGTAACAACAACCAAGTAAGATCATATCGGAGGTACGATCCGTTTGGTATATAGAGTATACTGTTTGGACATACCACTTTAGACACCTCACTAAATCTAGCCTAGAAGTCATCCCCATAAGTAGATCAATTAATATAATGAGTTGGAATCACTAATAAATCTTATTTATAGATTCTTAGCAAAGACTATGAATATAAATATAAATTACACTAAAATAAAGTTGAGTGTAATTTAACTTACAAAGATTTCCTAGACAAAAGTCCGAAAATTATACAGGTAGAACTCCGGCCTGCTAGCTACTAGATGTCAGGCTCTCAAGGACCTTAGGGCTTCGCCAAATACTTAAAACTAAGGGAAACTGGGCTCTAGGTTGAGAGAAACTCGAGAGAGGATGTTTGGGTTGGTGTGGAAATCAAATGAGAGGGCTGAAGTATTTATATGACAAGTACGCGCTGTGCCCAACCAAGCTTGTGCCGCGCCCAACCGTTGTCGACACTCCTTCCTCTTAGAACGTGACACATGGCGAATTTTGGCTGGTGCTGCCACACAACTTCCAGAAGATGTGTGTTGCGCCTCTATTGCACGAGGTGCACTCGGGAAACCTAAAAAAATTCATATCTTCTTCATATGAACTCCGTTTTTGATGTTCTTTATATCCACGTGTAGCTATCGATGAGATCTACGACGTTCATTTAGACTCAGTCGGCTAATTTTTACTTTATTTTTAAAGCTATGTTTTTGATGGGCTTAAACTATTAAAGTCTATATAAAAATCATAACTCTCTTATACTATGTCTATTCTCGACTGTCTTTATATCGACGAATAGGTATTGAAGAGATCTTCAACTTTCGCTTAGATTGCTTTTCTTAACAATTGACCGATTTTTATTTTAGTTTGTATGTTGTGCACTGCTGCGCTGAGACTTTAAAAAATCATAACTTCCTCTCATGAAGTTAGATTTGGAAGATCTCTATATGTATGCTCTCGGTTTAACGACTACTATGACTTTCATTTAGATTATTTTTTCTAAATAACCTTCTGTCAAAAACATCGACTTATTTCCACGATGAATAATTATCCTATTATTCTTTAATCATCTAGCCCCATCTTGCGGGCGTTACAGATGTGCATGACCATCTTCCATGCACCTAGGCAACATATTCACCATGCATGGAGTGCGTTCAACATCATAACAACACATCCTTGAGTCTTCATGATCAACACTACACATTCATGAGTAATAGGGGATCATCCTTCATGGTAGATCATATATAACAAGCCTGGAGCACATTGTCCACAACTTCGAGTGCATTTACTATTAGAAGCATGGTTATTAAGATTCTGTTTTTGATCTTAAGATCTTATGATTTAAAGATCCTACCAGCAAAAAACGATTCTGGTCACACTAAGATCTATCTCAAAGCAAGATCTATATTAGGATCTTAAGATCCCGACTAGGATCTTAAGATCTTACACAATCCGATCCCACCTCTTTAGTTTTAGTATATATTCAAGTCTAAATTGTGTTTTCAACTTCAAATTAAGCATTTCAAGTTGCAAGAAGTCTAATAGAACATCACCGCTACATCAATTCATCTCATATTAGGTAGAACATACCCGTGATATTTTCTTTGTAATCTTATGCCTTTAGTTGTACATAAACATAATTATCGTTTTTCTTTTTCTACTTGAGATGTTTTTTTTCCTAATTTTTACGGTTTTCAACAACAAAAATTATGGTTAATTCTTAAAAAATTAAATTTATTTCACTATCAACGTCTTAATTAACATTGATTTATAATGTATATTGCAAACCGAGGACCTTTTTGAGCAAATTTAAATATGGGTTCATTTTAGTAGGATCTTCTTATCCCGACCCAATATTACAATCATGATCTTGTAAAATGTAAAACCATCTTAGGTAACATTGCAATCTTGGCAACCTTGGTTGGAAGCATGCCCATGGTCATGCCTAGTTTGTGATTATTATTAATAGTAGAGTCTTTTTGGGTTACACGCAAGAAAAGTTCTAAGCATAAAATGGCAATAGAGATAATGAGGATCTAGTTTGTTAACTTATTAATTAGTCAACAATAAGTTAATGAGAAACTTGTAGATCTTAAGTGGTTAAAGTGAAAGTATTTAAATTTCAAATACTTGAAGATAATTTGTCTATTTAGTCAAGATAATGACTAGATAAACTAGTATTTATTCTATCCTAGTCATAAGAGAAGGAAAATTCGTCCCTCCTATTGACTCTCTCCTCTCTCTCAACTTTTCTTCTCTCTCCTTCGCTCCTCTTGGTTTTGAGCCCCAAAATCCAAAACCCTAATTGTCTAGGATTTGTGTTCACGGTTTGATCACACGTACTGTTCGGATTTTCAAGAGTTGCAAGGTTCTTCTTCTTGGGTACAACTTCATCATAGGAATCTCCGTTTGGGTTCTAGCTCATCCATAGAACACAACTACACAAGCAAGAATAAATAAACCAAACTCTTCAAGGGTATGATTTATACTACATCTTTTCCCTTGTATGTTCTTGTAGCAAATGGTACATGGATCTTTGATCCTTTGTATGGAATATGTTCTTTATACGCTTTCGTTGCCTTTGCGGTTTTGTTTTAATCTGTACATATATTCCATCATACACTGTTTCATGCCCTTTTGTACAACAACCGATCGACAATTACCCAGATGGCGTCGTGCCCACTCGGGGATCTAGGTAACTTAGTGATAAAATCCATTGTTATCATTTCCCACTTCCACTCAGGTATTTCCGGCTGCTGAAGTAAACTTGAGGGCTTTTGATACTCTACCTTCACCTTGGCGCAAGTCAAACACTTACCCACGAAGGTAGCAATTTCTGCTTTCATGTTTGGCCACCAATAGAGCTGTTTGAGATCCAGATACATCTTATTTGAACCCGGGTGGACGGAGTATTTAGTCTTGTGAGCTTCATGCATGACCACCTCTCTGTACCCGCCGAACTTTGGGGTCCAGATCCGGTTCATGAAATAGTACACTCCGTCTCCCTTGACCTCTAAGTTCTTGTCCATTCCCCGCAATGCTTCATCCGCCACTTTCTTTGGTTTCAAGGCTTCCAGCTGAGCCTCTCTGATTTGCGTGGATAGATGGGAATGAACGGTCATTGCCAATGCCTTCACCTTTCGCCCTGAATACTCCTTTTGGATGAGGGCATCTGCTACCACATTGGCCTTGTCGGGATGGTAGCGAATTTCGCACTCGTAGTCACTAAGTAGCTCTACCCATCGTCGTTGTCTCATGTTTAACTCCTTCTGATCAAAGATGTGATGCAGGCTCTTATGGTCGGTGAAGATAGTGCACTTGGTTCCATAGAGATAGTGTCTCCAGATTTTCAATGCAAAGACCACTGCTCCCAACTCTAGATCGTGAGTTGTGTAATTGACCTCGTGTGTTTTCAACTGCCTCGAGGCATAGGCAATAACCTTTCCTCGTTGCATGAGCACACAGCCTAGGCCCTGATTGGATGCATCACAGTAGACAACGAAGTCTTC